GAGACAGACAGAGACAGAGAGAGAGGGGAAGAGGGAGGGAGAGGGCAGAAAGAGAGAGAAAGTGAAAGGATAGAGGGAGAGGGGGGAGAGAAAGAGAAAAGAAAGAAAGAAAGAAAGAAAGAAAGGAAAGCAGAAGTAAGGAAGGAACTAATGTAGGAGAGGAAAACAAAAGAAAGTGAGAATAACTGAAAGAAAGAAAAGGGAAGAAAAGAATGAAGAAAAATAAGCAAAAAGAAGGAAAGATGGAAGGAATGATTAGAGAGAAAGGAAAGGAAAGGAAAGGAAAGGAAAGGAAAGGAAAGGAGGGAGAGAAGAACTGAGAGAAGGAAACAGAAACCGGCTTACCGTAGATGACGTCCTGCCTCTTGATGACGTCTTTCTTCAGCTGTTTCAGGTATTTTTTGTCCACAGTGAAGCTCCAGGAATCGGCTTCCAGCTCCTTCACGTCCGCCTCGAACTCCGCCATCAGGTGACCGTCCATCAGCTCCGTGCCTGAAAACCATCAGCACGTCAGCGTCTCGACGTCTCGCCCCCTCGACGTCTCGCCCCCTCGCCGCCTCGCACGTGTCACTGCGCCGTTTTATTACGCAACAATCGCTCGCATCGCACTCAGCTAACTAACGCAACGCAGGTTTGTTATAAATAAATAAAATTAATAAATATGTAAGTAAGTAAATAAATAAAAATGGATGTATGTAAGTACATAAATAAATAGATAAATAAATATTAAAAACATGAATAAATACATTTAAAAATAAATAAATATGCAAATAAACAAACAAAAAAAAATAAATAGATAAATAAATAAATAAATAAGTAAATAAATAGATAAATGTATGAATAAAAATTAATAAATAAATACAAATGTAAATAAATAGACAAATGGATAAATAAAAATAAATAAATAAATAAATAAGTAAATATGTAAATACTTAGAACGTTAAAAATCTGGTGAAAAACATTTCGTATAGTGATTATTAGCATGCTTTAGTCTTTTGTCTTTAATCTTTAATTAATAAAATTAGCTCTAACATATATATATTTTTTGTCTTTTAAATAAAGGAAAATCGCAAGATCGAGGATCTTAATCCTCCTGTTAATTCTGATAATTATTTATTTTACAAATTAAATTCAAACGTTATAAGGAATAACGAACACAGTCCCAAAACATCGGGACGTTTACCTTCGTCTGTGAGCGACTCGGTCGACTCGTTCACTTTCCCCATCTTATTGAGCGAGTCGGTGGACTGAGAGAGAATCTTCAGCGCTTTCAGAGGGGCGTCGTCCGAGTGCCTGGAGACGAGAGGAGCGCAACGACGTCACACGTCTAGCAAACCTCTCCGTAAACAACAACAACAACAACAACAACAACAACAACAACAAAACCAACCACGTGAACACGATGTCACGTACAGCGTTTCTCATTTCCAGCTTATTTTCCCATCTTTCTTACTCGCTCATTTTAATTCACGCTTTTAAACTTCCTTTTAACGCAAAAACAGATTTCAGTTTTATAGCAAATTTACTGATCGATAAACTTCTGTAATGCTACAGGGGGGAAAAGATCATGTTGACCTCCGACTGGGAATTATGAGTCAAAAGTTTGAAGAAAGAAAGAAAGAAAGAAAGAAAGAAAGAAAAGGTGGAGTACATAGTAAAAAGCAAAAATCGAGGAAAGAAAATTAATAAATGTGTGAAAGAGAGAGACATACTGGAGGTAAGGAAAGATCTGGAATTATGAGTTGAAAGTAAGAAAGAAAAAAAGAGGAAAAAAGGAAATAAAAAAAGACCTGAAGTAAGGTAAAGAAAGAAAAGAAAAGAAAGAAAAGAAAGAAAAGGTGGAGTACATAGTAAAAAGCAAAAATAGAGGAGCAAAAAACGAGGAAAGAAAACTAATAAATGTGCGAACGAGAGAGACATACTGGAGGTAAGGAAAGTATATAAAGTATAATATTTTTTTAAAATCAAGAATCATAAGTCCAAAGTAAGAAAGAAAAAAAAAAAGAGGAAGAAACAAAGAAAAAGAACCGAAGTAAGGAAAGAAAAGAAAGTAAGAAAGAAAGGTGTAAAAGTACATCAACCATCAACAAGAAGAGCAAGGAGAGATGTAATAAGAAGAAAAAGAAAGGAGAAAAGGAGACGAGAAGAATAAAGGGAAAGAGAGGAAGTGACAGCACTGAGAGTAAATTAAAAAAATAAATAAATAAATAAATAAATAAAAGGAATGCTGTGGGAAGGGAGAGGCGAGCGGGAATTCCGAGTTGGAATTTTTGCCATGCGTCTACGAAAAAAATTCTTACAATAGGAATTATAGTTTATATTTATATTTAGCTATGTTTATGAAATATTAGTAAGGGGCTATGCTAATGTTTAGCATGAACGCAGCTACATGCTAATGCTAGCTAACGTTAGATTACGTCAGAAAGTTAGAAGTCGGAATAACTGGATGTTTTTCCGTCCTCCTGGAAACGCCATGATGGCGGGATCATGTTTCTTTATCAAACCTTTTGAGGTCCACGTCTATTTTACTAACAATAATCAGACACGCTGCAGACTAAACCTCCTTTAATATAAAAAGAAAATGTTATTCAGATGCATCTTTCGCTTAAAATAGTAATAAAAGAGTGTTAGCGCGTTAGCGCGTTACCCTGCGATGTTGGTGATGGAGATGCTTTTGGACAGAGAGCCGCTGTTAAAGGGCATGATGGTGGGGTTTTTCCGGGGAGGAGGGACAGGAAGCGGCGCCTGGTCTTCAGGAAGCAAGAAAGTGGACCAGGGACGATCTCGCGCTGATGCGGCTAAAAAAACAAACAAAACAAAACAAACATGGATTTATATATGCAGCGCAGGCGAAAAGCATGAACACCAACAAAACATAGCGAGGACGTTCTTCCAGAACATTCCCGCAGGCACAGGAAGTGGTGGCTCAGTGGTTAAAGATGTCAGGCTACTGATCAGAAGGTCATGAGTTCAAATCCCAACACTGCCAAGCTGACACTTGGGCCCCTGAGCAAGTCCCTTAACCCTCAACTGCTCAGTCGTATAAATGAGATAAAATGGCGTCTGTAAATAACGTAAGTCTTTAACGGTATCGTGTGTAAAATTCTGGTCGCACCAGCGATGAAGTCTGTCACTGATAACTTCTTTTTTTGACATAAAAACACACAAAAGCATATTTAATTTTCCTGGAATTTTTTATTTCGCACTTGAAGCAAGAAAATCTTGAAGCTGACGGACACCGTGATGTAATAAACGTAAAATTTAACCACGGCTTTGAAGTTTTAATTATTAAATTTTAAAAAATCTACAATTACAAATTACAAATGTATGACTTATAACTAGCTACTCAAGGATAACAGTAAATCTACCTAAAAAAAATTTAAAAATAAAATAAAGAATGTATTTCTTGCACGTGTCTGCTTTCATACTCGTACAGAACATGAACGTCCACTAGGGGGCGAAAACATGAAAAACTACGCGAGTCTCGTGTTTCGCT